ACACACACACCGTCTTCCTCTCGCACGCACTGGCATAATCAACCTTCAGAGGGGTAACAATAACTCTGCTTCACGTCAAGCACTTTGTCCTGGATTATTTCCCTAGAACAGCATGACCCCAAGTGTGCTATTCTTTACTAATAACTGAGCAGGTTTGTCTGAAAGGCTTCAGTCAAGCAGTTGATTGTTATCAGGAAATTAAAAAAAAGTGAAGAAGGTACCTTGTATTTGCCCTGGTCGCAGCCGCAGAGCGTGCTCTCCATGGTGTAACTGCGTTGGACGCCGATCTCGTTCCACACCACCACCCGCGCCGTCGACTCTTTAGAGCGCTCCACCACGAAGCTGCAGCTGGACAAGCTAAAGGCAGGAGCCAGCTGAGACAGCAACTTAGGGAGAGTCTAACACACATACAAACGCATGTAAAAATAAATAAATAAATAAATAGAGCGCTTCCGATCTTCGGAGGTCATTTTGCGTGTGACGACATCCGTAAAGTGTAAACGTATAGAAGGTGATGGTAGCTCAGTGGTTACAAACAAACGGAAATGAACCACTTTTCCTTGTCAGATTTTGCACAATTCATATTTACTAAATCACAGGAAACAAAATTCTAATTTGTGTATAAGTAAAGCGACTTTTTCCTGCCTCTTAACAGCCTCTGATGCTTGACTACATCACTGTGCAAAAAAATCCAAACAAACAACTTTTTAATGATACATGATCTATAGATCTTGATATTTGTTTTTGCTTTATGGAAAATGTTACTTTTCAAGAAATTTATTTATCTCAGAAAAAAAAAGTGTATGAATATATTGCAATATTAATATCATATCATCTTATAGCCCTACATTTGTATGTTGTGAGCTTTTTTTGTTGAGGGGGATTATTAATATCATAAATGTGTTATTTATTAAATATATATGAGATGTTAAAATTTATTTATTTATTTATTTATTATTATTATTTTTTAAATAAATACAAAATAAAAAAAATAAAAACACACTCCTGACTGACTGAAGTGTTATTTTTTTACTTCAGCTCACTCTATAGTTGGAAGATTGCGAGTTTGGGGATCGTCCTGAACAAACCAAAGCCATCTGTGGCAAGGGACTAAGGGAGCAAAATTGGCTGTGCTCTTTCTCAGCGGTCAATCCCAGCGACACGAGCCAATCACAGGCGTCCGTGAGTACACGTATGTGGAAGAGTGTGATACGTTGTGCTGTGGTGCAGCGTGAACAGCAGTTTGAAACAATGCTGTTGATTGCCTTCACGCGTCTCATAGAAAGCACGTCGTGTGATAGGGGAGAGCTACGTGGGTATGAATGAAACGCTGTCAGGATGTTGTAAAATGTCATAATGGATTATCGATTAGTATCTCAAAATATCAACTAGATATATGGGGTGTGTGTGTGTGTGTGTGTGTGTGTGTGTGTGTGTGTGTGCGTGTTACCCTGTATCCCAGATCCTCCTGCAGGTCACAGGAGCTGGCACTGACATTGGTCTGCCACACCGTCTCCTTTACACTGCAGCCGTACATGAACACATTCTTCTTCCTCGAGTGGCCGTGGTAGTCACAGAATACCTACACACACACACAAACACATATACACACACACACACATACATGATTCTTATATATATATATATATATATATATAAGAATCTTCTTATAGCCTAGGCCATCTTTATGTAGGGCAACAATTCTTTTTTTCAGATCCTCAGACAGTTCTTTGTCATGTGGTGCCATGTTGAACTTCCAGTGACCAGTATGAGGGAGTGTGAGAGCGATGACACCAAATTTAACACACCTGCTCCACATTCACACCGGAGACCTTGTAACACCAACAAGTCACATGACACCGGGGAGGGAAAATAGCTAATTGGGCTCAATTTGGACATTTTCACTCAGGGGTGTACTCACTTTTGTTGCCAGCGGTTTAGACATTAATGGCTGTGTGTTGAGTTATTTTGAGGGGACAGTAAATTTACACTGTTACACAAGCTGTACACTCACTACTTTACATTGTAGCAAAGTGTCATTTCTTCAGTGTTGTCACATGAAAAGATATCAAATATTTACAAAAATGTGAGGGGTGTACTCACTTTTGTGAGATAGTGTATATATAAAATACACACACACACACACACACACACACACACACACACACACACACACACACAGTCTCACCAGTGGTGCTCTCCCGATAGCGCTGAGGTACTGCAGCAGACTCTTGGTGTGGTAGATGGTGGGGTGAAGCTCCGGATTGGGGTTCTGCCACTGTCTGTTCAGATCCTCGCCGCTCAGAGAACACCTGTGACTGCACACAGAAACACAGAGCACGAGACCGACAGATTTACTAAGGAACTAATTGCCATGACAGGGAAATAATCAACTTCCTGTATTGCGTTTTATCGTCTTAACACCGATTTGCCAACACTTCAATTTAATATTGTGGAACACCACCCAGTCATTGATTATTTTATGTTTTATTACTTAACATCTACACATCAAAGTGAAGGCTTTGATCGGTTTAGTGAGATGGAATCATTAAATCATTTTTTATAGCAAATTTCATGACTGCTTGAGTAATATAGTTAATATGAACACCACTTATATACACTGGTGCAATACACGTGTTCCAGTTTCTGGTGACTGAAATATTTAAGTTTTTAATCTGTGATGAGTTAACCCTTGGATAGTAGGGCTGGGTAATAAATAAATAAATAATCGATTCTCCGATCTTAATCGATCTTTAATTTAACGAAACGATATGGATTTGCTTTACCTGAGAGGATATGAATATGATCTGTCCTGAACGTGTCACCATCTTTCATGGTTTGAATTTTGAAAACGGTTTTATTTCTTAAACATGCTTCAAATTGTTAATGAATTGCACTGTTGCGCGTTCACGAGGATTTTTTCAATTTATTTTTTGTGACGGCATTGTGCAGTTTGTGCTTTACAATACACACATTTATGAGTTCTTGTTACAATGTTCGTTACTCAAAGTAAAAGTAAAAAGTAATTAAGGCCTCATAATTGTGTGGGCCTTATTGTTAAAGTAAAGGTGTATTTCAGTAATGTAGAAAGTAGGAGGGTTTCAGTTACCAGCATTTATATTAAAATATCGATTTTATGTCTGCAAAATTAACATTTTAAATGTAATATTGATTACTAATCGAAACCGTATAAATAAGAATTGAATCGCCAAATTGATCGCAATACCCAGCCCTAGGAATATAAAATTGGATATTTTTGAAGTCCCCACTCTTTACACAGTTTTTTGTCTTATTTCCCCTTTTGGCTCTTGTGCTAAATAGCACAGATGCAACGCCAGATGACATTCATCAGTTCGTACAGGATATCGCAGAGGTTTTTTTGTGACTGCTCTGGGCAAAAATGCTTCATTTTACTGCGGTGGTTTTATTTTTTTGTTGTTGTGGAAAGCTACTTGAATTGGCGAAATTGAAGTTGCACAAAATTGTTTTACAAGGTCTTTCGCAGTGATGTTTGTTGGTAAACGAGACCTTTTAGCTGTACTCATGCTCGTCACGTGTGAATCGAAGAGGGCTTTGGCTGCATGCGCGTTGTGATGACGTCACATGACTCGTCTTGGCCTAAATCTGTGGAAAATCTGCGCGAATTCTAAAAATCACGAAATCCTGGAGGGATTGATTTGAAACTTTTACGGAAACGCACTGGGACAAAACGAACGGGACTGAACTAATCTAAACCATGCTGTGTAGTGTGATAAAGATGCATGAAACAGTGCGTGTGTGTCTGCACGAGTGTACATACTTTCCATTGATGACTCCGTCTGGGTTGAGCATAGGGATGATTTTGAAGATGTAGCTCTCTCGAAGGCTTTGAGCCAGAGGGCCGGAGCTCATCAGGAACTCCAGCGTGCCCTTCATCACCCAGCTGGCGTTGGTCTCTCCGGGGTGAACGCGTGCGGAGAGGAACACCAGCGGCCGGTTCTCTGTACACAGAACAGCCGTCAAGCTCAGGTTTTGATTACAGGGATCGCCAATGTTTGGCTGCGTGTTTTGCTGGTCCCCATGAGGTAAACTGATTTTTACAAAAAACACAGCTTTTATTTACAAAACTAAAAGCCAAAGTGTTTCCTTTTGGTTCCTAAGGTATGGGTTATAATTAGGATTAGGTGTAACACAGCTACATTAATATCACAAGGATAATAAGACACTTGTGTGTGTGTGTGTGTGTGTGTGTGTGTGTGTGTGTGAGTGTGTGTGTGTGAGTGTGAGCGAGACGTACTGAACTGCCAGACATGGTCATTGCTGGAGGACTCTGGCATGGCTGTGATGGTCAGCAGAGGGCAGTCGTTTCCGCCGAGCGTCTTACAAAGCTGCTGCTGTCTGTAGTAGATGTGAGGCGTGCACAGAGCGTGCAGGTTCTGGAGATGCATCTGACACACACCAACAGCACGCATGACATCAGACTCATTCTCAAACACACTATGTATGGTCAGTGTATAGAAATTAACTGCAGGTCAGGAAGTTAAGCTGATACCTTCAGGGTCGAGTAGGTGTATGGGTAATGATAGGCAAAGTAACAGACGTCGTCCTTGTGATGAAAGGTCAAAGTAAAGGTGATGGTGTAATAGGATTTGCCTTTCTGACCCCCAGCTGCGATGGAGCTCCGTGAGAAATGGTTCCTGTTATAGATTATAATATTGAGCTATTAGCAAAAATCGTGTCCTGGTACACTTCGGCTACGATAACACGTCCGATGACAAGACCGAAACTCTCTCTGTGGACATTGGACAGGTTTCTGCCATTATCTTCATAGAGTTGAGGTCATAAGTTTACATACGCCTTGCAGAATCTGAAAAAATGTTAATTATTACAAAGAATTAGAGGGAGCAAAAAAAAAACAAGAAAAGCATTTTTAATATTATATATATATATTATATATATATATATATAATTTAGTTCTGCCTTGAATAAGCTATTTCACAGAACAACTGCTTACACATGGGGCGGCTGTGGATCAGGTGGTAGAGCGGGTTGTCCTCTAATCGTAGGGTTGGCGGTTCGATTCCCGCGGGCCGCATGACTCCACATGCCTAAGTGTCCTTGGGCAAGACACTGAACCCCAAGTTGCTCTTGGTGGCAAGTTAGCACCTTGCATGACAGCTCTGCTACCATTGGTGTGTGAGTGTGTGTGTGTGAATGGGGGAATGAGACACCGTGTAAAGCACTTTGGATAAAAGCGCTATACAAGTGCGCCATTTACCATTTACCGCATAGTCCACAAGACACAATAATAACTGAATTTACACAAATGAAACAGTTTACACACGCTTGATTATTAATACTGTGCATCGTTACCTGGATGATCAACGACTGTTTTAATGTGATAGTTCTTCATAAGTCCCTTGTCTGTCCTGAGCAGTTAAACTACCCACTGTTTTTTAAATGGTGTGCGTTTAGAATAAAGCAGGACATACTTGTAGTAGCAGATGTCAGATCCAGTACGAACCCAGCGAGGGCTGCCCCTGATCGCTTCCTGTACCGAGTACATGAGCGCCTGCATGCCTGCAGCAAGAACGCACAGCTCATATAATCATACAAACACCGATCCCACAGATAGACTAATACCAATTCAGTACAGATACACATACGAGACAATATCATGCCTAAAATAAACCCCAAACATTCAAGTCATTCAAATGTATCTGTAGTGTTATGCCTCAGCTTAAGTCAACAGTTTGAGGTCACAGTGAATTCAAGACCTAGGGCTACTTTCACACTAATTTTCTTTTTCTTATGTTTTGCAGCTAAAGCTCTGGCCGTAGCTCACCGTAGTTGAACTGGCTGTTGGATTTTTCACAGTTGATGATGTTGAAGCGATACGGTACCCCCACACGCATTCCGCTCACCTCAAAGTAGAACCACTGATGATAGTGATTACTATTGATGTCCGAGTTTAGCACCAAGTCATACTCGAACCTGGAGCGCACAAATAATGATATATTAAAAGCTAAATAATATCCCATGTAATGTCTCTGAGGTGGTTCTTGAAATAATAATAAAAGGTAGCATCACATGATTTAACATTGTACAGACTGCTATTGTTCATGAAAGCTTACCTACACTTTTTGAGAGACTAAATAAAAGCATCGTGTGATGGGAAACCAACACGTCCAAATAAACTGCGCTGTTAAGGCAAATCTTGCTTACTTTCTGACTTGGATTGCTTTGCGCAAGTTCCCCGATTCAAACTGCGAGTTGAACTTCAGAGACTCGCCGTCATCGATTAACGGACAGCTTAAAGAAAAAAGAAAAAAGAAACAAAGATTATTACATTTTTTTTTTTACATTTTCAATAGACAGCACTGAGTGCTTCTTTGATTTTAAGGAAGTAGTAAATTATATTAGGATAAACTGTTACACCGTTAACAACTGACCTCTGCAGGTCAAGGTCATACACAACTTTATCCATGATGTCACCGGGGTGAATGAGCCTCTCAATATCCTGGAAGATTTTTGCCCTGTTGGGAAAGATGAAAAACACACATTTAGAATGTATTACAATGCATGTTCCTGCAATGGTTACTTTTGCAGTAAGAGGAAGCTTGAACATGTTACATTTCAGGTGTTATTGCATCATAAAATATAAACGCCAATCATATTCCAATATGCAAATGAAATTTATGCAAATTACAGGAGTAATAAAATGCCACATTTTCAACCTTATTAGTACTCTGGTGAAGGGGTGGGGCATGTAGGATTGAGCGTGTGTCTAATTAGCGTTGATAATGACCTCCTTTGTGGAACTGTCTCATTAGGCAATTGACTGTTCAACATAGAAACTATGTTGTATACTAGCCATGTTATCTAGGTAGCTGTGATATTGGATAATGTGTATTAGATAATTATACATCAAGAAAATACAAATTTAGTAACTTCTCTGCCAGGTTAAGTGGAATCGGTGGTTTGGGGGTGGGGAGAGTACATAAAAAGGTACTCACCTCTGGACACCATAAACCCTCTCGAAAATGTGCTCACGAAAGCTGGGTGCGACGTGACCAAAATAATCCGGATACGCCACTTCAGTGTACCCAGGCACAGAAAACGTTCCCTTCACCATCTCCAGATACAGATCGGGGTCATGCAGAGGCAGAAGGGCGGCAGTATCGGGCACCTCGAGCTCTGCCTGCTCCCCGCCCTCTTCCTGAAGCCCCGCCTCCACACAGCTTCCTCCATTCACCGGATCGGAGGTGTCAAGAAGCAGCCGGCTCAGACCGTGTACCAGCTCCCGCTCTGGAGCTTTGGCGATTGAGATGCCGTCCAGATCCAGTGGTTTATCTCCCTGGCTCTGGTGTGAGGATTTGTTTATGGGTTTGGTCTGAGCTGTGGGGATGACTATAGAGTGTTTTTGGTGCTTTGGTGCTTCAGAAGCGGGAGGGGACATGGATTTGTTAGTCTCAAAATCATAGTCCTGAAAGAGAGGGCATCCAAGGTGAATGGCTAGCAGCATTCATACATCATGGTGAATGTTACTTTTTATGACCCTGAGGAGTTTCAACACTTCTCAAGGAGAGCAATTCAATAAAGAATTGCACATGATATCCATCAGATAGCTCTAATGCAGTTATATCTGCAGTTCCCATCATACCGGGTGCAGCTTACCAAGGAGTCAGGTTTGAAAAAAACTACCAAGTGGTGAAATGTTATTTATTTATTTAAGTTATGACACATTTCCATTCATTACGACTGTGGAATTTCAAATGCATATGGGTCTCCTAAAGGCTTTCATTTCCTCATATTTACATTTCCTAGATAATTTAGAACATGGCACCTTTTGTTTGAACCCACCCTTTTTTTTCAAGTGATCAAAAATGTCGGAACATGTGACCTGCTGCCCAGGTGTGCCCTGTTAGATTGATTGTTTAAAAAATTAATAGCTCTGAATGTCTACTCTTGGATTGAGCCCTAGGTTTCGCCTGTGAACACAGCATTTGTTGTTAAAAAGGATAAACCAACAAGAAGACCGGAGAGCTGTATATGGGAGAAAAGCAAGCCATTTCGAAGCTGAGAAAAGAGGTCAAATCGATCAGAGCCATTGCACGAAAAAGTTAGAATTTTTTTGCAAAGTAGCTGAAGCTAGCTGTGTTAGAACTCAAAAGCCAAACAAATACAGTGTTTCCCTAAGCTATATGACTGAAATGTTAGTGCTTTAGGAAATGATTGACAGGGCATTCAGACATGTTGCCTCATCCTGATTGTTGTTAATTTTTTTTTCCAACACGTGTATTTTTGTGACGGTGAGTTCCAGAAATATTGGCACTCTTGATAAAGACAGAAGGGGAAAAAAAAAGTCTCGGATTAAGAACATTGAACTTCATTCACACTGAAAATATGAACGAACTCTGACATTTAATTGAACTAAATGTATTCTAAAAATGTATTTTAAAAAATGATAAATATAATTGATAGTGAAAATATTAATTGATTAATTAAGTAATCAATCCCAGTGTTTAGGAACTCCTAAGCGTTTCACTGAGGTATAAATATGAGGTGACACAGACGGCAAAATCCTTTCCCTCATTCATGAATGTAGGGAAGATTAGAGAGCAAAGATTGCTCAGAAAAGTGTTGAATGGGCTAGTTTTAGGCTTCAGTTGACATTTTTCAGGCCCAGAAATGAGCCCCGCCCTCAGCTGAAGCAAAGTGGTTCAGCTCACTGGTTCAGGAAACTATGATGTATATGAAGATTGAAGGGGGTGGAAAACACAATTAGGGTGAAGAGGAAACAGGAGAATGCTCCTGATCATATCTTTACTATATTTGCCAACCTAAGCTTTAACATCTACACCAAATAGTGAACTAAAGGCAAATCCCTACCTGAAAATCCTCCGAAAATTCTGGAAAGAAACGCTCGAACAATCTTAATTCATCAAGTGGGCGTATGGGTATCTGTCTGGGTCGTAGTTTGTTGAGATCAGTCTCGACATCATGATTCTGCAATGAAATACAACACACACACAAAAGGCTTTGGTTTTTATTTAATTTCATTAAGCAATTCACAATTTTTGATATAAATTCGCACCTAGCACAGAACTTCGTGTGATATCGTTAGCAACGATAAGCATATAAGGTCACTATGTTTAATAAGAATACTTTTCAACTTGTATTTTGTTGTGTAACATAAGTTTCCTCCATTAAAGGTGAAGAAGTGACCTGTGACTCATGGTCCTTTTCATCCTCCTCATTCTCCGTGTCAATCTCTGTGTCCTCGTTATCATCGCTCTCATCTACAACGTCATCCACTGCAGCACACACAGACAATCGGTCTATCACGTGCTCACATTCAACTGTAGGTTGAAGTGATACAGGGCACTATTTTAAAATACATTCACTCTATATTATGCACTTTACCCCCCGGGGGCTGACTGTAGAGTTGAGCTACGGGTCCGCTGGCTGGAACGTGTGGTAGTGGGTAATGAAAGACGCTCTTAATGCTGGGCACAGGCAAGCGGTTCTTTGGAAAGCACTTTCTCATGATCAGGCTAGAAATGTTGACTAGAGGATCCAAAGTCCTAACAGGCAAACACTCCTGATCAACAGAAACAGAATAATGCACAACATACTTCAGTCACACACATAACATCATAGATGTTATATAACATCTGTTATATAACATAACATCTGTCACACCACAAGGTGGTGTGACAGATGTTAACACATAACAGAGGTTTACACATAGTCCACAAGACATAATAAACTGAACTTACACCAGGGGGGTGTACACTTTTGTTATTATTTTGTTTAAAGATCCCCCCCCATTTAGTACTGCCCTGATGAAGCTGCATAAGATATTTACCAGATGTTTCCCAGAAGACAAAATAACAATAAATTGCACCGACCATCCTGTTCAAAAGTTTACACCCCTGTGGTGCTGAAATGTACCTTTATTGTGTCTTGTAGACTATATGTAAACATCTGTTATGTGAAATACCTTATTCAGGGCAGTGCTAAATAAAAAAGAAAACGAACAAAAAAAAGCTATTTTTATGATCTCTATTATTTTAAATATTGTTAACATTT